AAAAAAACAAAAAACTCTTAAATTCGTTTTTAATCTTCTTCCTTACAACTTCCCCTGTTCAGAACCTCTTGCGTACAAGGCCGCCCACGTGGATGTAGGTTGAGCGGCGTATATATATATATCGATATATATCGATATATATATATATATAGATGAGTCGGTGAAACTCCGACGAAACAGTTTGTCACAGCCCCTCGTTTGTTGTCCTCTTCTCCCTCTCTGCCTACGGTTTACCGGGCAGTTCTATTTGACGATATATATGTATATTGTTATATATATAATAATTATACATATATATATGATATATATAGGGTTCAGCGTCCTGATGAGTCGGTGAAACTCCGACGAAACAGTTTGTCACAGCCAGGGCTGCCCGGTAAACGGTAGGCAGAGAGGGAGAAGAGGACGACAAACGAGGGGCTGTGACAAACTGTTTCGTCGGAGTTTCACCGACTCAAACGTATATTATATAGCTCATGAGTCGGTGAAACTCGGACGAAACAGTTTGTCACAGCCCCTTGTTTGTTGTCCTCTTCTCCCTCTCTGCCGACGGTTTTTACCGTCGGCAGCTCTGTGTTGACGATATATATAGCTGTCCCCCGATGAGGAGAAGACAGGTTGGAGGGGGGGGGAAAAAAAAAAAAAAAAAAAGCATGCAAAAAAGCAACCAAAGTGTGTGCCAAGCCACTCCACCTCACCCATGTCGTCGACCAGGGCACACACGTGTCACTGTTAGCAAACAGATCACAAGTTCAAGTCCTAGTGGATCAGACAAATACACGAATATTAGCGGCTACCCCTTCTTGAGAGAATAGAACACAAGCCACTCCACTAACAACGAAACGGGGCAACAAAGGTTGATCGTATTTCGGAAGCATCTGCCAAGCTTTCCCCGTGTGTACCCGTTTCCGTTCGATTACGCACTTTTCAACTCCACGTAAAATAATTTGTTTGGCTGTCATGCGGTTACGGTGTGACCTTGGCGGATGCAGATGGGTACACTTCCTATGTTTGCCAAGCCAGAATACTGGGAGAATTGTTTGGCCTGATGAATACCACGCCCTCTACGAGAGGACAGGACCTTGCGAAACTTTCTCATGCGCTCGACTACTGCACAATGGTGAGCGGTAATTCCATCATCAAACAAGCGTAGGCAAACAAAAGCAGGTCCTTTGGGGGGGGGGGAAGGTTGGGGCGGGCGCGAAGAAGAGGGACGAAAAAGCATTCACATATGTGTCGTCAGTTCTGCACTTCTCTGCATATATGACAGTTTACCTGCAGCCCCTTACTCTGTGTCTATCAGTTACCTGTAGCGTCTTCTTTTTTTTCTGTTTTTTTTGTCTTTTTTTTTCTTTTCTAAGTTTCTTTTCTTTGCTTTTCTTTTTTTTTCTTTTTTTTTCTTTTTTTTTCTTTTTTTTTTCTTTTTTTTTTT